AAACACGATAATGCTGATGTCCTGTCTCGTCGGCCATGCAAGGTAGAATGCAGGCATTGCTCAAAGGCTGAGTGTAAAGAGAATATCGTTGATGTCAGACTACTGCAGTTTGAGTCGGGTGAAGATTGGTCGACGGAACAACGAAGAGATCTCATTCTGGGCAAAATAATTTCGGCCATAGAAACGGGCAAGCGACCTAGTCGGAAAGAAATTACTTCCGAAAGCCCTCTTTTAAAATCCTATTGGGCCCAGTGGGACAGTCTACTTATAATAAATGGTTGCCTATATCGCAAATGGGTAAGTGAGGACGGTAAATCTCACCGGAACTTGATCGTCGTCCCAGACTCCAAAATAAGAGATGTCTTGTCGGAGTTTCACGATGGGCCAAGTGGAGGACATTGCCGACTGGATTGCCAATTGTGAAAGGTGCATAAGAGCTAAAGGTCCAACACGGAAGAGTCGAGGCTACATGCAGCAGTATAATTCAGGAGCCCCTTTTGAAAGAATCGCAATGGATGTTGCTGGACCGTTCCCAATAAGCGACTCTGGGAACCGGTATGTCTTAGTGGTCATGGATTACTTCAGCAAATCCCAAATCAAGAAGCCAGGACAATTGTGGATGTGTTCAGCAAAAATTGGATTTGTCGCTATGGTGTTCCATCTGAGGTTTATTCCGATCAAGGTAGGAATTTTGAATCAGCGATCTTCAAGGAAATGTGTGATTCCTACGGAATCAAGAAAACCAGAACGACGCCCCTACATCCACAATCTGATGGCATGGTGGAAAGATTAAATCGCACCCTGGAAGAACATCTACGGAAAGGTGGACAGTGGCCAACGAGACTGGGATGAGCATATTCCAAAGTTTTTACTGGCTTATAGATCGGCCATTCATGATTCCACATCCCGGACCCCAGCCAAAGTTCTGTTCGGAAATGAATTAAAGCTACCTGGCGATTTGATATTCGGTGCTACCCCAAACGACGATGTGAACCAAGATGAAGACAGTCGAAACTCTTTTAGTAAAGTCCACGATGCAGTTCGCCATCGAATAAAAATGGTTAGCAACCGCATGAAGGCAAGGTACGATCGAGCGGCAAATACCGATGGGTTTCAAGAAGGGCAACTGGTATTATTGTTCAATCCCCACGAAAGAAAGGACTATGCCCCAAATTGCAAACGCACTGGGAAGGACCCTACATGATTGTCACGAAAATAAATGACGTGGTTTATCGCATCCAGAGGAGCGACAGTCCCAGGTCGAAGATGAAAGTTGTACATTTGGAGCGGCTGACCCCCTACGGAACGGGAACTGGCCTATTCGGGACGAACAGGCTTAAGCGGGGGACAATGTTACGAATATAACTTTAGATTTAAGTTAATTTAGATGAATTCCGTTAATTTAAGAATTTGAATTGTAACGTAAATTTCTACTACGCAGTTTATTCGAATAACTTCACAACAACAACTAATGCATAGATTTTTCTACATCCTTCCATTTCCTCTTTCATTGTCTATTTTGTTGTTGACGTACAATTCTTGTTAACCGTCATCATTGATGATCGCTTAATTCCTCTTTCTTTGTTACTCCCTCGACTGTATATGTGTTGTTGTTATTGTTCACTCAATGTAAGTTTGTATGTGTTTGTTGCATTGGTAGATTTTCAAATGCTACCAGATTGTTCGTAATCTAGATGTTACCAGATCGTCTAGAAACTTCTTCTGTAGAGGAAATGGCAAGGCAGTTAGTCAGTTGTGAATCAGATCGCGAATTGAAACAGTCGAGTAACGTAAAGCTGTAAAGTAACGTGCAAAGTAAAGTTGTGTCAATAAAATCATTGTAATCAGAAATAACCCGCGTTTTATTTAGTACGAACTGTATTGGGAAATAAAACAACGTCTACACGGGATTAAGTAAAATCCAAGAACGTAACAATATTTATACACACTCATTAGCCTTATGGCTAATGAGGGTGTATACACTTTGATACAGTAAAAATGTGCCTCGTCAAAATATTGGTTCTAGACCCCACGTTTTTTGGACCAAATCCATTTCAGAAAATTTTGATTTCATCCAAACTTTGCCTATATTATTATTTATTCCAAATTTTGTTCAAGTTCGAAGATGGGAAATATCGATCCACTCCTTCTGGTACGTCCCACACAGGGGCTAGGCCTAGGCCTAATTCCGGGCTATAGTTCATATATAGTACATTATCGAACCTTACGTTCTATCCTCCGCAGGTGAAATGATTACAACAGAGTCTTAGAACCAAACCCAAAACGCAGAACAAATCAGATAACTATTTTAATATAAAAATGAGGTTATATGGGGACTACGCCAAAAAGGGTGCGAATATAATTAATTTTTAGTAGGGAGATTTGTTACCATATACGACTACCAAATTGCAACGAATTCGGTTGAAAAACGCGTTCAAGAAACCCAAAATACCGAAAAATGGGTGTACCCTTATATGGGGGCTACCCGAAAAAATGGGCCTATATTCATAATTTTTTGTGGAGAAATTTGGTACCTATTAAAAACTCAAAATACTAATTTACAGCCAATTCGGTGGATTCGCCGAATTGGCTGTAAATTCGCCCTGGGGGCCCGGGCCCCCCCCCCCCCCCCCCAAAAATGAATTTTTGGCACAGTAAATATATGTTTCCAACAGCGATTTTTTTCATTTTTTCATTTTGTGGGTACTACCAGAAAAAGTGGACCTATATTAATAATTTTTTGTGAACACATTTGGTACCCAATATGAACCCAATGTAGCTAATTTCAGGAAATTCGGTTGAAAAACGCGTTCAAGAACCCCAAAATACCAAATTGTGGGGTACCGTTATATGGGGGGTACCAGAAGAAATTGACCTATATTTATCATTTTTACTAGGGAGATTTGCTACCCAATAAGAACTCAATGTACTAAATTTCAGCGAATTCGGTTGAAAAACACGCTCAGAACCTCAAAATACCGAAAATTGGGGGGTACCCTTATATGGGAGCTATGCCTAAACGTGGACCGAGATGTCCCATCTTCGAACTTTTCCTGCCTGCAGACAAAAGACAACTTTATGCAAAATTTCAGCACCCTATCTCAATTCCTTCAGAAGATAGCGAGATTACAGCAGACGGACGGACGGACATGGCTAAATCGTCTTAGAATTTTACCCTGATCAAGAATATATATACTTTATAGGGTCGGAAATGAATATTTCGATGTGTTATAAACGGAATGAAAAAAAAATAATATACTCTCCATACTATGGTAGAGGGTATGAAAAGAAATGAGGTCGGATAAAAGAACGGAATCAAAAAGGAACGAGATCAAAAAAGAACTTTAGTAATTAAAGAGCTGGAAATAGTTGCGATCGTTCCTATCTCGGAATAGTTGCAATGAACTAGTTGGTTCCGGAACTACCCAACTCTATAAGTGACCGTAAAACTGCCTCGTTCTAACAACGAACAACTACGCAGAAGCAGAAAGAGGGTACGTCGACAGCAACCTCAACTAAACAATACGGAAGACACTCGACAGCACCAAGTTCCCAATATTATGAAGTTTGTGAAAGAGGATCGCCAAACCAAACTAAATTTATAAAATATTGAAAAACATACACATATGAATAATATTAATTTTGTCGCTGACAAAAGTCAATTTGCCCAAATTTTGCTTGTTTGATAGTGTGGTCTCTCATGTTTGTCATTCATCATTGCTAGTGTGTATACCGCATAAGTATCGTCTGCATACTTTTTGTGGTTGTTGTAAATTAAGAATTTATATTCTTGTTCATCATTTTTATACCCTCCACCATAGTATGGAGGGTATATTAATTTTGTCATTCCGTTTGTAACTCATCGAAATATTCATTTCCGACCCTATAAAGTATATATATTCTTGATCAGGGTAAAAATCTAAGACGATCTAGCCTTGTCCGTCCGTCTGTTGTAATCACGCAATTTTTTAAAGGACTTGAGATAGCGTGCTGAAATTATGCGTAGGGTTGTCTTTTGTCTGCAGGCAGGTCAAGTTCGAAGATGGGATATATTGGTCCACGTTTAGGTATAGCTCCCATATAACAGTACCCCCCAATTTTCGGTATTTTGGGGTTCTTGAGCGCGTTTTTCAACCGAATACGCTGAAAGTTGGTACATTGGGTAGTAAACGTATCCACAAAAATTATAAATATAGGTCCACTTTTTCTTGTTGCCCCATATAACGGTACCTCCTAATTTTCAGTATTTTGTAGGTTTTTATCGTATTTTTCCACCGAATTGGCTGTAATTTAGTATTTTGAGTTCTTAGTAGGTACCAAATCTCTCCACAAAAAATTATAAATATAGGTAAATTTTTTCGGATATCCCCCATATAAGGGTACCGCCCAATTTTCGGTATTTTGAGGTTCTTGAGCGCGCTTTTCAACCGAATTCGCTGCAATTAGGTACATTGGGTTCATATTGGATACCAAATATTTCTACTAAAAATTATAAATATCGGCCCACTTTTTCTGATAACCCCCATATAAAAACACCACAAATTTTCGGTATTTTGAGGTTCTTGAGCGTGATTTGAAATTTGATACATTGGGTTCTTTTTGGGTATCAAATATCTCTATTAAATATTATAAATATCGGTCCAGTTTTTCATTTCAAATACCTGTCGGTATACCTGTGGTGGAGGGTATCCAAAGTTCGGCCCGGCCGAACTTAACGCGTTTTCACTTGTTGAGAATAATCTTTGGTACGAAAGTAGAATTGAAATCCCTAAAATTCCTTTTGGCAGCATTTGAAATTGTATAGATGGATCATTCTAACCAACCACAATTTAGTATTCCAGTGTGCGGTATATTGTTTTTTCTTACCTTTAATCCCAATGTATGTCAAAATTCACAAAACTTAAAATGCTGAGGTTTATACCATATTCTCAATTACATGCTTAATATATAACATTTTGACCAGATTATTAATTTTTTTTATTTCTTTATTAAAAAATAAGATTAGGATGGTTAGTAGCTCAAGGAGGAAGTGCATCTGAAGTTTACCGATGTCCTGTTGGTTCGATGATAAACGCTCAAAAAACATGTAATGTATTATAAATAGAGGCAACAAAAACACGCGTCTAGTGAAGCAATAGGAAAATCAAATATTTTATTTCTTAAAAAAATTGTATTTGGAATCGAACCACAAAGTTTCACAAAATATATGAAATGAACGAATTTGTAAAAAGTGCAATATTATTTTGTACAATGTTTACTGCTGCTGATAAAAGTTCGTTGCTATTTTTTATGAAATCGTATGTTGCCAAGCTGCTAAAGAGACCGTATACATCTGCAACGTTTCCCGAAAATGTAACACTGTTACATATACATGTAAGTTATCTGGCGAAACATACAATGTTTCACATTCCAAACATTTGGATACAACAGTGCAACCAAACACTACACCAGGTGCTCGGTGACTAGTTGCCTGCGGCAATTAGTTCCCATCGCAGCCTAAAAAAAAATTGAATTTTTCTTCTTGAAGTTTGTGAAAAAAGGAGATCGCCAAACCAAATTCAATTTATAAAATATTTGAAAACATGTAAATAATATTAATTTTAATTTTGTCGCTGAAACTCGAAAGCGTCCAAATTTCAAATCAAAGTTTATTTAAAACGTCATTACTTACAGTCAACAAACCTAAAGTGGTGTACACACTAACACTTTTGAGTGGCACTCTTGCCCAAATTTTTCTTGTTTGATAGTGTGGTCCCTCATGTGGGGTTCAAAGCCATTTGAGTGGACCTTCTTAAATTTAGACTCAAAAAACAGTTTTTTTAAAAAAAATTTACGCACCAAATTTTCATGTTTGGAATCCAATTGCAAAGAAGCTACGGTGAGCACATTCATGAAATATACACTAAACGAAGCAACATCACGAGTTCTAAAAATCCTATAATCAGTTTAGTCCATTATCTGGTTGCGCGTCTTGATTATAAGAAAAATTCAAAAAAACACCGAAAAATCGCTTCAAAATGTCAGCATCCTTTTTGCGTGGATGCAGTAATTATATTGAAAAATCACATGTTAGAACCATATTGTACATGGGGTATTCTGCAACTTAGTCAACGATCACATATGCGTGCGTTGTGTAGTTTAGCCACAAATCAGGAACGAACACAAAAAAACTCGTTGGCTTCAACCCTTTTTTACCCATTTTTCTACATTACCACCATCACAGCTTCCAACCAACTTATTATTTATTACCAATATTTTAAGTATTTGACAAGAACACTTCATTTTATAGAAATGAATTTAAATTATATGCAATATATTCATATTTCGCGAGTTATAAGCTTACAAACCTCAGTTTCAAGGAATTTAAAAGATTTTTGTAATTTCCCATACGTGAGTTATGGGTGCCATAGGGGATGATAGATAACAAGCAAAGGTTTATATCATGATTATAACCTTACAAACCTCAGTTTCAAGGATTGGGTTGAGGCGTCGCATTATTTGCCCACTCTCGGAAAATTTAACCTACTATGAAAAAGCAAAGAAAATGGAAACCAAACCCCCCTAATGTTGACGACCCCCGCAAACGTACATAGGTCCACGATCTGCGAATCTACACTTGGAATGTGCGCACGTTGTACAAAGCCGATATTATTGCCTTACAGGAAATGCGATGGAATGGGACTGGCGTAAATAAATCTGATGAATACGCTCTGTATTATAATGCCATGAAACGAGACATGAATTTGGCTGCGGATTTATGGTTTATAGGAGAATAAAAGACCTCGTCTCCAGATTCACTCCAGTAGATGAGGAATTGCGGATATCTTTGGCCCACCATCGGAAAATTCAGCCTTCATGAAGAAACATCAGACAATGGCATGAGGTTGATTGACTTCTCGACTGAAAAAAAACATGGTAGTTAGCAGCACCAGATTCTAGCATCTCTATATACACAAGGCCACCTGGATCTCTCCTGATCAAGCAACGAGAAATCAAATTGATCATGTTGTGATAGACGGAAGGCACTCATCCAGTGCTTTAGAAGTCCGATCGATCCGAGGAGCGAATATCGATTCGGACCATTACCTTGTGGTAGCCATGGTACGCACCCGTCTTAATGTAGCAGAAAAGTTGCGATCTAACACAACACGGAAACTCGACGTCGAAAAGCTGGTACACTTTCAAACCGAATAAACTTAATATTGGAATTTCGAATTCTTTTTGAGGAAGACACCGCCTCGCAATGTTCAACATAGGTCAACATTTGTATATATGTAGCTGCGATATAATGACAAAGCCCGATTTTCGATCTGTTGTGGGTTTTAAACATATTTTGAAGCGATGTGGGAGTGGTTTGCATTTGGGATTTATATTAAGTAAAAACCTTTATTTTGTATTTCGGGTTTTCAGATGGTTAATTATCTCGTCACATACAATTTTCAAATCTCGACATATGGTCTAGACAAACATGGAATTTTGACATATTCACCATATAAATGTCCCGCCCCATTTAGTACAATCCAAATTTTATTAGAAATGGGATCTAATTTGGCGGTGGTTATTAAAATGTTCGGCACGTCTGAACTTAATCGCAAATTGTTTCATTGATAATTCAAATCCTGGCAAGATCTAGCTACAGCCTCCATATATACGTTACATCCGATTTAATATATAATCTGATTCCGTAAGGGGATGACGTATATTGTATTATTTAGAACATAAATTACCTTATTATTAACTCATAAAATATACGATAGGATTTAAAAAAATAATCGAAGTTGGCCATAATTCCTCTCAATATTCGCTGGCAAATAAATGTATGCTTTCTGACAGCTTGATCAAACTGTTTCATGGTACAAATATATTTTCCAATGTAACCACACGTCAAACATGTTTTCCCATTTCATTATTTGACATTATTTGCTCACTGTTTAAGCAAACAAAGTGTGTCAAATATTTGAGTGTAATGTGAACACAAAATCAAGAGTGCACAAATTTGACGTTTTGGGCAAACAAAATAAAAGACATTTGAGTCACATATTTGCCTAGTGTGACCTTACCTTAAGTATGTAAGAGTTATCGGGTCAAACATATAATGTTTCACATTCCAACAATTAGGATATCACAGTGCAACTAAACAGCAAACGAGCTATAATACAAATCAAAGTTAAATTAAGATGCCAATATTTGAAGTCAACAAACCTAAAGTGTATTGAATCATGTAATATATTAAAAATGTAGTAAATGAAAACCGGCGAATTTAGAAGAAAATAGCAAAATTTGTAAGTGCAATCAATGTTACTGCTGCAGAATGGATAGAAACAAGTGAAAAAGTGTTAAGTTCGGCCGGGCCGAACTTTGGATATCCTCCACCACAGATATACCAACAGGTATTTGAAATGAAAAACGACCGATATTTATAATTTTTAATTGAGATATTTGGTACCCAATAAGAACCCAATGTACCAAATTTCAGCGAATTCGGTTGAAAATCGCGCTCAAGAACCTGAAAATACCGACAATTTGGGGTACTCTTATATGGGGGCAACCAGAAAAAAGTGGGCCGATATTTATAATTTTTAGTAGAGATATTTGGTACCCAATATGAACCCAATGTACCAAATTGCAGCGAATTCGGTTGAAAAGCGCGCTCAAGAACCCCAAAATACCGAAAATTGGGCGGTACCCCTATATGGGGAATATCGGAAAAAAATTACCTATATTTATAATTTTTTTGTGGAGAGATTTGGTACCTACTAAGAACTCAAAATACTAAATTACAGCCACTTCGGTGGCAAAATACGACCAAACACCCCCAAAATACTGAAAATTAGGAGGTACCGTTATATGGGGGCAACAAGAAAAAGTGGACCTATATTTATAATTTTTTGTGGATACATTTACTACCCAATAAGGACCCAATGTACCAAATTTCGGTTCGGTATTCGGTTGAAAAACGCGCTCAAGAACTCCAAAATACCGAAAATTGGGGGGTACTGTTATATGGGAGCTATACCTAAACGTGGACCAATATATCCCATCTTCGAACTTGACCTGCCTGCAGACAAAAGACAACCCTACGCAAAATTTCAACACCCTATCTCAATTCCTTCAACAGAATGCGTGATTACAACAGACGGACGCACAAGGCTAGATCGTCTTAGATTTTTACCCTGATCTAGAATATATATATTTATAGGGTCGGAAATGAATATTTCGATGAGTTACAAACGGAATGACAAAATTAATATACCCTCCATACTATGGTGGAGGGTATAAAAATTGTTCTTTCCTATTTTTCATGAAAGTTGCCCGAAAATGAAATATTGTTTACATTCAAGACGTGCAAAGTTATAGTTGAAAGTATTGTAAAAACAAGTACACCAAATACTTATCTGTTACTACTGGTATACATGAGAGAATGAGTATAACAGTTCTGTTATGCTCTGTATTGATAAACTCTCTCTATTCATCAAAAGACAAATAGTTCCAAACAGTTATTTTGCATTTTGTTATGATTTACTAGTTCGTACCCTCAAATGCTTGTTGTACAACAAATATATTCGTAAGTAGGAAGTTTTGGAAATTCGTACTACTGTGTACTAAATTTGGTACTATTTGAATTATGGGTTAAACGATAACGTTGGAATCCTGAAACTTGGATTCAGGATCACTGTAGGAGTGTAGGATTGGGGTATGTAGGAAATTTTGGAAATTCGTTCTACTGTGTACTAAATTTGATACTATTTGGATTTGGTTGAACCGATAAGTCTGGATATAGGAGCACTGTTGAGTTGTAAGATTGTAATATTGTAGGGGTTTTCCCACAATATTTTCCGCTAACGAAGTTGGTTTTTATTAAAATAAATAATTATTAATCTCTATATATATAAAAATTAAGTGTATGTTCGTGATCGCTAAACTCAAAAACTACTGCACCGATTTTTACCAATATTGTGTATACAGCCTCTATGGACATGAGGAGTATTTCTGTGTAGTTTAAAGTTCATCCGACAGATGGCGCAATATTTAGTTTTTTGTGTTTTTTCACTATATTTCAAGAATTACTGCACCGATTTAGACCAAACTTTACGTATATG